AGCCTGGCCAGGCCCCCGCCCCGCGAAGCCAGAGGCAGGCACGTCACCAGCCCCGCAGAGCCCGGTGCTCCAATCCCGCGCGACAGGCCCTCTCCTCACTCGGGTGGCACCCGCGCCCTCGACCTGCCCCACGTGCCCTCCAGCTCCAACCCTGGGCCCGCCTCGGCCCCGGGGGCCGGCACCAGCAGCCCCGGGCAGGCGCTGCGCCCTGCGGCTCCCAGGCTGACGGGAGGTGGGGGGCAGCGCAGTGGGGACGCGCAGACTGGCCAGGAACACTGGGCAGGAAGAGACGGTCAGGCTGGAAGCACAGGGCCCAGGGCCAGGACCACTGGGACCCTGTAAGGGTACCAGCCAGGGGCGCCCTGCCCATCTGGAACCTGAGCTGGTCCCAGTCCTGCAGGCGCACGCCTGGCTCCCCAGCGCAGAAGGGCTGAGAGCAAGGCCCCGCCCACCGGCCTCCGCTCCCAGGGCCTCCATCGCCTGACCCTTGGCTCCACGTGGCCAGGCCTGGGAGGCAGGCAGGTCCTGAGATGCCGGCTGTCCAGCCCGTGCCCACTGTGCTCAGCGCCATACTCCCCTGGGCTCCTGAGCAGAGTCATGGGGCCTCGGCTGCAGGCAAGAGAGGGCAGGGCCCGGGCAGCTGATAGTGAATCAGCTGGCAAGAGGGCCAGACCCAAGCCTGGCATTCTCAGGGGATGTGTCACGCAGGGCCCTCGGGTGCTGGCGCCACCTGGGAGCAAGGCCTGCTGGGAAGGGGGCCGCCGTGAGGGTCCCACAGCCAGGCCCCCGGGGAGGCCGGCCTTCTCCCGCCCTCGAGGGCACCGGCAGGGGCACTGCGCGGGGCGGGCAGAGCACCGGAGCCCACAGTCAGGCCCCGCCACACAGCTCCCCAGCAGACAGTGCGGGGGAGCCAGCCCGTCCGCCCACGGTGCCTGCAGGGAGGCGAGGCCCAGGTGTGGGTTCCGTCCCCAGCCTGCTCCTTCCTGCGCTCGGCGGCAACACCAACATATGGCACTTTGTCCAGGCAGGGGCGAGGCTGGTGGGCCCTCCCCAGGACTGGGCAGCCCTGCCGGGGGCTGTCGTCGTCCCGGGCGATGTGCCTGCCCAGGGTCACCCTTCACAGACACCTGGGGTCAGCCCCCTCTAGCTCTCCCAGGGCAAGAACCAGCCGCAAGGGGGAGGCGGGCGCAGGGGAGGCCCCACCTTCCAGCTCCGGGGCCCAGATCCATTTTTCCGTTTTAAAAAGTGCTTCAGACTATTAAATATTCATCCCAGCCGAGCAGACCTTTGGCTCCCAGCCCTTGTGGCTTCCAAAAACAGAAAAACAAAAGGAAGCCTGGAGGTACAGGCAGGGGCGGGCAGGGCCTGGCAGAGGTGCCCTGAGGCTCTGACTTGACCCCTGGCCAAAATGGGCAGTGGCCTTGGAGTGGGGAGCGGGGTGGGGGTTGGGGAGCAGCCGCTCTCACCGCGCCCACACCCGGTCCCCTCTAGGCCCGCCCCAGCTCCCCATCCTCAGCCCTCTCTTCTCGCCCAGCCTCAGCCCTTCCCACAGGACCTGCCCTGAGACCCTTTGGAGCTTCCTCATGCCCCCAAAACAGCCCTCCCTCCTGAGGGCCTGGCCCCTGCCCTCTCCACTCTCAACCCCCGCGCCGCCCCCAGCCCCAGCTGGTTGAGCCACTTGCTGCCGCCTCCCTCCGGGGGCCTCTCCGGGCCTCTCGGAGCAGACACCCTGTCAGACAGCCCTTCCTCCAGGGAGCCCTCCCTGACGCCTCCACGCGGGCAGCTAAAGCTGACTGAAGCTGATGGGCAGTGGAGAACCCCTGCTCCCTGGGGCACGACGTCCTGAGTCCCGGGCCCTGGGAACGCAGCGGGCGTGTGCGCACGGCCCCCGCGTCAGCAGAGCATGGCGCTTGCCCCTCCCTGGCAGAGGGCCAGGCGGGGAGCTGGGACTTTCACCCCTGGGGCAGTGGCAGGGCCCCTGGCCAGCGCCGCCCGGGCCCCTCCCCGGCACCCCCCACCCCAGGCTGAGCCTGCAGCCCAGAGGCCTTTGGCAGAAGGCCGGCCTGGCGAAGACGGGGAAACGGAGCCCGAGGAGGAGCCGGGGCGGGCCCAGCCCTCAGGGGGCTTCCTGGAAGAGGCTGCCCCCGCCGGGCGGGACAGAAGCGCAGGGGCAGAGGGGGGGAAGGCCGTGAGGGCATTCCTGCCGCCGGCCGCCCCGCAGTCGTCCTGAGTGGAGTGGGCGCACACTGCTCCCGGGCCTGGGGGCAGGGCCTTCGGGCACTGGGCCCACCCATCCACTCTGGGGCCCCGCCCCACCCCTGTTCCCCAGGGCTTGGGGCAGGAGCTAGGCTGTCCAGTCTCCATTTCCCCACCAGGAAAAGACCTGGGGGTGCTGTCAGGAACACAGGTGCCCTCCCAGTGGTGGCTTTGAGAACCAACCTCATTGAAGTGTGGGAAGGGCTGGCACCGGGGCCAGGATGACCTCTGCGGCCGCCCCCTCCCCTCCTCCCCCTGCCAGGGACACTCCCAGGCTGAAGAGGGGCACTCGAGGGAGGGCGTCCCTGCCTGGTGGGCTGGGGCAGAGCTGGCCCTTGTCAGACACCAGGGCTCAAAGCATAGGGCGTGCCACGGGGGACCCCGCGGAGGCCAGGGCCCCCACGCTGCCCCAGGGCCCGGCCTCACTGCGGCTACGCCCAGCAGCCCTGCCTGCAAAGCAGGGGCACAGCCCTGCGTGGCGTGGCCCGGCCGGCACGGAGCCCGCAGGGCCCTGCCCCTCTGCCCGACCTCGGCGGCGGGCAGCGGTGGGCACCCCTATTCAGACGCGCGCTCCGGCCCACGGCCCCTGGCGACCTGGGCCCAGGCTGTGCAGAGGCCACCAGCCCGGTTCAGAGGGCCGGGCCGCCCCGGGGGAGCAGAATATCGCACTGCCCTTGGGAGGGGCCCCCGCCCTCTGACGCCACCCAGACCCCCTCGGCCGCAGCAGCGCTGCCCCTGGAGCCTCCCTGCCCTCGTGGGCATTTCTCAGGGGGGCCAGTGGTCTCGGGTCAAGCCAGGGGCCTGAGTGTAAGACAGGTGTCCGGCCAGAGGTCAGGGGGCTTCCTGTCAGTCTAGTTGTCCAGGCCCCAGCTATGCCTCTGGAAGGAAACAGTGGCCCCTGGGATAGGAAGGGATGTGACAGCTGGGGCCCACCACGGGGTGAAGTAGCTGGTGCCGGCATGGGGGCAGTGCGCCCGGGCAGAGCTCCCTTCCCCCACTGGAGCAGGGGAGGGTCACCCGAGGGGCGGCGGGGGTGGGGGAGGGGTGTGGCGCTGGCACGGGCACTGAGGCTGGGCGGATCCCTGCGCGGCGCGTTCCCTGCACGGCCACCAGGGGGCAGCCTCTGCACGCGGGCCAGACGGACACGGCTGCCTCCCCCGGGCCTTGCGCAAGGCTCTCCATGGGACTTGGAGGCTGTGCAGGGCTGGCGCAGGGGTCAGGCTTGGACTGGGTGGAAAGATAAGGGCCTGCGGTCCCTGCTGGCCTGCTAGGGAAGAGCTTAGGCTGCAGAAGGCCGGGGCCGAACCCCCAGGGGCCCTTATCAGGAACGCATGTTTCGCCTCCTGTGAAGGGGTCAGGAATCCGCAGGCTGGATGAGCCCCTGCTCTTTGCAGCCAGTGTCCTACCACTGCCCCAGGAGAGTCATGGCTGTGGTCCCTGAGAGCTCGTGGTGCTGTAGGCTGGACACAAGAGCCCAGGGGGCCACCGGAGCCCAGCAGAGAATAAGGGCCTCTCATGGGGTGGGGGCCCAGCACAGGCCTCTGGGAGGCCGCACAGGGGGCAAGGTGTACTCTGGAGCCTGCAGCCGGGGGAGCCTCAGGCCCTGCCCCCTCCCTGGGACGTGATGGATCCCAGTGACGTGGGCCAGGGCCGGCCCCCGTCAGGAGGAGGGGCCGGAGGCCCACCGACCCGCAGTGGCCACCATCCTCCCGCCGCTGTCCAGGGAAAGTCAGGGCGCCTTGGCTCCCATGGGGTGAGGGAGGCCCACCCAGGAGGTCGGCGGGGCCTCAGGGCTCCCGGGCAAACGGGGCCAGGAGGGGCGTGTCCAGCTGCGGGGACCCACCCTCTGCATCCGCAGCGCCATTGTCGTCACCGATCTGCTTTCCCCAAGGAGTGGGGTCCGGCCTGTGCCAATGCGGCTTGGCCTCCGCCCCTCGTCGGCAGCTGGCCAGGTGTCCTGGGTGTGGCCAGGCTGCTGCGTTGCTGACCGGCATCACTGGCCCGTGTCGCCGACCCCGTAGGGCCGGGGCCGCCCCTGCCCCACCCTGCCCTCCGAGATGCCGAGACACCGGCCCTGGGACCAGCGGGAGGCACACTGCCCGTGGGCAACACCCACTGTCCGCTGCCCAGCGCTGTGGTCTGAGCTCCGACCTCTCTCCCAGGTCCTCTCCAAGCCTCAGACCTCAGGTCCAGTCCTGCCACCACACACGGTGACCCAGCCACACAGTAGCCACACCGTGGACCCAGGCCAGCCCAGCCTGGCCGTCCCGGACCCAGAGCAACAGCTCTAACTCTGCTCCTCCCCACATGTCAGAGGCCAGGCCGGGCGACCCGCGGCCTTCACACTCCACTCACACACGTGCAGCCCTCCCCAGGCAGCCACCTCGACGGACAAGACAACTTCCCAGCGGCTTAGAGCAGAGGGGCAGTGACAGACAGAGAGGGACAGCCACGGACAGTGAGTGACAGAGAAAGAGGCAGCGAGCGACAGAGTGAGTGGTAGAGATGAATCAGCGACCTGAAGGGACGAAGTGAGGGATGGGAGGCCGAGGGACAGGGACAGGTAGAAGGAGAGACGGAAGAGGAGGGAGGCGGAGACCCAAGCAGCCCTGGAGGCAGACGGACGCGCGCGCGACGCTGCGGGCCGGTGCCCCCACCCAGGCGGGCCCCGCAGCCCGGCGCGCGCCTCTGCGCGAAGCCCACCCGCCCCAGGGGAGCGGGCTGCAGGCGGGAAGGACGCGCACCACTGCCGGGGGCTCCGGGCCAGGTGGGCAGCACCATGTGGAAGCAGTCGCACATCGCGGCGGCCGGGCGGTGCGGGCCGGCAGCGGCCCGTCGCGTCCAGTCGCTGGTCCGGCTCCGGCGCGCGAGCGGCCGGGGGCAGGCGGGCGCCGCGCCCGGCCTCTGGTGTCCTCCGCTGCCGCTGACGGCCGGCCGCGGACTGCGGACAGAGCCCGCGCGCAGAGACCCAGCCACCGCCCGGGCCCCGCCCCGGCCCGCCCAGCCCGCGCCCGGCCACTGCGGTGAGAGCGTGGGCGGTGCCGCCGACCTCAGCCAGCCTATTGGCTGCCGCGTCGCAGGCCCCGCCCCAGCTGGCCCCGCCCAGCGCCACCCTCGCCCCCACCCCCCCGCCCGGCCCTTTCCGGATCCAGAGAGCGGACTCTGGACCCCTGCCAAGGAAGGGTCTGAGGGCGCCGTGCCGGGGCTTTAGGACGCGACCCGCGCCCGAAGTCTGGCCTCCCACTCCGAGGCGGACGTTTTCGTCACCAGGGGGTGCGGGCGCCTTGGGGGGCGGCAGGGAAGGAGGATGTGACCCGTGATGTGACCTCTGACCCCGGCCCTGAGGCTCCGCTCTGCAGGCGCGGTCCCGGGTAGCACGGTACCGCCCCGGGCCGGGGTGGTCCGGGACGGCTCGGGGCCTCAGACCAAGCCCCCGCCGCCGGGGAGCGGGAACGGCGTTCCGGACCGAACCGGGCCGCGGCGACGGAGTAGGGGCCCGAGGCCGGTTCAGCCGCCGCAAAGCCCGTGGGGCCGGAACAGTGGGGGCTGAGGAAGGACCATCGCGCGGCGGGGCAGCCGCCGACAGCCGGGGTCCTCCGGGGCGCGGGGGCCGGGCCCTCACACGCTGGCGGCCGCTGCGGCCCGCCTGCTGGGCCTCACGCACAGGACAGGGACGCGCACGTGCACGCACAGGCGCGCGCCGTCCTGAGCCCCCGGGGCGCACGCGGCCGGCGGCCCAGGTGAGCCTGCGGCTGGATGACTCAGGCTCGGCGCTTCCCGGTAGCCGGGCCGCAGCCAGGCAGCCTTCCAGCCGCCGGCCAGACAGGCGCGCGCACCGCTGCCGGGAAGCGGCGCTGGCCGCCGGCTGCGTCGCAGGCCCGCGGCAGGGGGGCATAGTCCTGGCCTTCAGGTGGGACGCGGCGTGGGCCTCCCGCGTCCTGCCCCGGCGTCTTCTCTTGCGCGGGGCGGCAGGCCCTGGATCCGGAGACCGGTTCCGGCTTCGGCCCCCTCCCCCCCGCCCGGAGACGCGCCCCGGAGGCCTGCGTGCCCTGCCCATCTGAGAGTCGGGTCCAGCGCCCACGGGCCACTCAGGGGTCTCGGCCTGCCCCCCAGCTGTGGGGCCTGGGAACACGGGGCAGTCTTCTGCGGCCTTAGGCACAGCTCTGCGTCCGCTGCCCCATGAGACATGGGACCTTGGAGAAGTCGTGGGGACCCTGGGCCCCCATCCAAGTGAAGGGGCCTCACTCCATGTGACAAAGAGACACCTCCTGACTCTTGAGCATCATGACAGGGGCCGTGATGACCGCCATCGGCTCAGAAGGGAGGGGACGGTGGAGCCCTGGCCGCGGAGAGGCTGAGGCTGCCCCGCTGAGGGGACGGGCCTCACAGGGCCACTGAGGGAGGGCCTAGCCCTGCACTGCTGCCCCTGTGCAGGCAGCCCCTGTGCCCGTGGCCTTGGCGAGGGCTGGGCGGGCTCGCTTGCAGCTGCGGGGCTGACTCAGCACTGGCTCGGGCCCCAGGTTCCGGACAGGGGTGGGCAGGGGCCCCCACCCCCGGGGTTGTCCGTTCCCCTCTCCTGCCGGCTCAGAGGCGGAGGCTCGCATCGGCTGCTCGGCTCACCCCCAATCCCCCATGTACCCCCTGGCGCCTGGGGGCCCGTTTTACCCCTGGGGGGCTCTGGTCCCACAGGCCTGCACCCCAGCATGTGGAGGGAGACTGCCCACAGGTCCACTCTTGCCCCCAGGCCAGCCAGACAGGGCGGCCTCAGCCGCCGCCTGCGGACCCCTCCTACCTCCCGGCTTCTGCCTGCAGGGCCCTGGAAGCCGCAGCCTGGCCCCAGAATCACAGGCCTTGCGGGAGAAAGCAGCCGGGTGGGACCTAGGGAGCCCATCTGTGCCCCCAGCCTGTCCCGACCCCCAGCCGAAGCCTGGCCCTGTGCCTGCCACCAAGCCCTGAGCTGCCAGGAGCTACTGCTGTCACACCCAGCTGCAGCCCCGTCCTGATGCCCCCCCTCTGGGGACAGAAGCCCTGCTTCAGAAGGTCACCGCATCTGGGCACAGGAGCTGCTGTCCCCCCGGGGCACAGAGACAAGGACCGAGTCTCAGCCAGCCCTGCACTTGTGAGGCCCTTGCGGCCTCTGGGCACCGCTCACAGGGTCGGGGACCGCGGCGGTTGTGCAGCGCTCTCCGCCTGCAGAGAGGCTCAGCCTCCTCCCCAGGACCATCACGCCAGGGACTCGGGGACCACACCCGGCACTGGCCCTGGCCGCCGGCCCGAGCCCCAGTCTTGCCTGCAGCCTCCCGAGGCTGGGATGCAGGGCAGTGCTGGAGCCAGGGCGAGGGGAGGAGCCGGGGCTGCCCGCCATGTTTCTGCAGGCCTGGCTTCTGGGCAGAGCCGTCGCCCCTCCCCCACCTGCCTGGACGGGGCTCACTACCTCCCCTCCCCCGCCCTCCCCGCAGCGTGGATGCCCAGAGCATCAATGATTGATGTTTCTTTGCGGCAGCCGCAGCAGCATAAGCAAAAATAGCTCTTACCATTGTCCCTGCTGAGCCTCGCCCAGCCGGAGGGGCACGGGGGGGGGCGGGCACCTGGGTCTCCTCAGCTACCGTGTGCCCTCGCACCCAGTCCTCCGCATGCCAGCGTTGGGGAGGGCTCCAGGGCTGCAGCCCCTGGGCTCTGCCTCACTCATCCCTGAGCTGAGTGCCCACCCTCCGCCTGGAGACAGGCACCCTCCTCCACCCACCCCAAGGCCTGGGGTCTGAGACCCCAGAGGGGCAGGGCGCCCAGTGCTTCCTGGGGCAGGGACCCCTCCCCACGACGCATCAAGGATGCCGGGAGGCTCCAGGGTGCTGTGGGGCCCCTTCCCCCTGAGGCTGGGACACCGAAGGCTCAACTCCGCAGCTGCCCCCACCCCATTCAGCAGGCCTGGGGCTCAGGGATGGACCGAGGTGTCCCTCCCACGAAGGGCCTGGGAGGGCCACACGGGCTTTCTCCTGAGCACACTGCCCCCACCCCCTCCACAGCGGCTTGTGTCTCTGTACGCCAGCTTTAATGGGGCTGCCCCTCTGCCCAGTCTCCCCCAGCCGGCGAAGCCTTTTAACCTTGAACAGCCGCCTGCGCTGCCCCGCGCATGGAGGCCAGGCCTTCAGCTGGTGCCCCGTGTCATGCCCGGTCTGTCTGTCCAGATGCTGACCTGAGGGGCCAGGGCCCCCTAGCAGCTACCTGGGCAGCAGCTGGGGCTGGGCACCCAGCGTCAGGGTCACCTCTGCCACTTCCTCTCAGAGCACCTCTTCAGTGGGGTTGCCCCACGTATGAGTGTCCTGTGGCCGCTGCGACAAATAACCACACAGGCAGTGGCTTAACCCAACACACATCCATCTCTTACAGTTCCAGGTGGGCGGGGGGGCGGGGGGCTGTGTTCCTTCTGGGGGCTTCAGGGGAGTCCGCTTCCTCACCTTTTTCGGCTTCTTGGGGCCACCTGCAGCCCTTGGCCCCTGGCCCGCGTTGCCCCAACCTCTGCTCCCCTCTCCCCACCCTCTCAGACCCTGACCCTCCTGCCTCCCTCCTCCTTTTCAGTTACATTTGCTGGGATGGCACTGGTTAATGAAATTATACAGGGTTCAGGCGTACCGTCCTTTAACGCCTTCTCCGCATGTTGTACCGTGTGTTCACCACCCCAAGTCAAGTCTCCTTCCATCACCACTCCCCCACCCCCCCGCCTCCCTCTCGTAAGGGTGCTTGTGATTACACTGGGCTCAAAAGCATAACCTGGGACCATCGTCCTGCCTCAGGAGCCTTAACTTGATCCCGTCTGTGAAGTCTCTTTTACCTTGCAGGGTGCTGTACTCACAGGGGTCTGGGGGTCGGGACGGGGACTTGCCTGGGACACCAGGGAATGGTGTGTGCCTAGTCACGCCACCCTGCACCCGAGGGTCACAGTGCTGTGCTCTCTCCAGTGGGGCCCAGGCAGGGCGTGGGGAGCTTCAGAAGAGCTGGGTCCAGCCCCAGCGACACTTCCCAGGCAGGCCTTTGGGCCTGGGCCTCAGCTTCCCCGCCTGCACGTGAGGACACCCTTCCTCCAACCCGTTCCAGCTCCCTGGACTGTGAGGACAGCAAGGACAGTGGACGAAGGGTCCCAGCAGCGGGTGGCAGCAGGGTCACCTGGGGCTGGTCCTGTCCCCAGGTGACTCCCTGCGGCAGGGTCACGCCGCTGTCTGCCCGGTGCTCGCGCGGTCTGACGGCATCGCTCGCACACCGCAGTGCTGGCTGCTGTGCCCTCGGGAAGCAGGCGCCGGGGCAGGAGGCCGCGGTCCAGGGTTCTGAGAATGATCTCATCTGGCCATTTTTTTAATTAATACTTTCAGTAGCTTGGCTGAGAAGGACCAGGGAGAGTGCGGGTGACTCATGCGGACAGGACAGGGCCCAGGAAGAGCTCAAGGAGGTCTGGGGCAGGGGGTAGCAGCCCGAGCACGCAGGTAGACTCGGGGCCAGCTCCCTCCCCAAGGCCGATTTCGGGGGAACTGCGCGTGGGGGCTGATGAGAAGCTTGGATGGCCTGGGAGAGGGCAGACAGGAGGGCGAGGCTGCCCCGCTGGTGCCTTGTGCCCGGGGGTGGTGATAGCAGCAGGTGCTGGTGACCTGGTAGAATCGGGACGCTACGGGCGGGGGCGGGCCCGAGCTCGGGCGGCGCCCCTTCTCCGCCCTCAGGCAGCAGACACTTACCGCCTTCCCTTTGGGAAGGACTAGGTTGGGGAGTTGGCAAGGCAGACGGCTGCCGCTCCCCGCCCCCCGCGCCTGCGGAGAACACATCACACAGCTACACCGACAGCACGGTGGGCCGCGTGGGCTGCGGGGCCGGGGCTCGCACAGCGGAACACGAGCCTCCTTCTCCGCCGGACCTGGGCGCGGGTCGCGGTGCTCCGCAGGTGCAGGGGGCGGGGCCTGGGGCTGTCACGCCCCGCGCAACGCCAGAGCTTGACGTCTCTTGGAGACGCCGGAAGAGGGGCTGGTGCGCTCCGTTGCCGGGCAACTGGCCGGAGCCGTTCGCGGGTACTGTGAACTGCGGGCGGCGCTCGTGTGCGGAGGGGCGACGCAGCCAAGGCGGGTGCCAGCCGGAGCCCGGCCTCGGCAGCCGCAGACCGGACCCACCGGGGGCCTCAGTGGCCGACCGCGACCTCCGGCTGCCTTCCGCTCCGCCAGGGGACCACCCAAGCCCCGACTCCACTCTCTGGGACTCAGCGCGCCGCCCTCCCTGGGCGCCTGGCCTGCGGGCCTCACCGACCCCCGCCCACCCGGCCCAGGCCGTCCCCACAGTGCCTCGTTGCCCCTGGGGCACGCCCCTGTGCCGGGTGCGTGGAGGAGGAAGCAGCAGCGCCCCAGTCCCTTTCCCGGGTGGCCAGGCTGTGTACGTGGTTTACGTCCGTTCCGCAGCAACACTGGAACCACACCAGGCCATCCGCACTCCCGAGGAAGCCACCAGCGGCTCCCGGGTAGTGGGCGAGCAGACAGCCCCCAGGCCCAGTCCAGTCCTGGGCCATCCCAGCAGAGCTGTGCTTGTGTCTCCTGAGCATCCTCCCATCCGGGGCACGGCGGTGGGGTGGGGGGGGGGCGCGGGCTGGCGACACCAACATGCAGGGCCCGTGGGAGCTGGGGCGAGAGCCTGGCCAGAGAGTCTCTCTGAGCGAGTCTCCGGTGACCTCACAGGGGAAACAGGCCAGGGCTCCCTCCACCAGGCCCCTGAAGACAGCTGTGGAAGCCAGGCACCTGCGGGACAGGGGTGCCGGTGCACAGCGGGTGAGGACCTGCTGCCACCTTCCCCACCGGGTGGAGAAGCCTGGATCTCCGAGCCCAGTGTGGGTTTTCCTCCTGCCCCACTGGTGGTCTGGACTTGGGGAACACAGGGTACCTGGGGGCAGCTTGAAGGCCCTTGGAAATCTTCAGCCAAGTCTGAGCAGTTCTCCCCGCCCTTTGAACTCCCAGAGGGGCCCCGCGCACTTCAGCGGCCGGGAACAGCTTCTGCCCAGGAGCGCGGCTCCCACCAGCCTCGGGAGGGTGGACCCTGGGTGATGGGACCCGCCATCGCCTCCCCTTCCGAGGTTTTGCTCAAGTGCACAGAAGTGTTTTGTGCACTGGGAGGCTGCAGGCTGCAGGCTGTTGTGGGCTGGCCGGGGAGCGGGTCTGCTTCTGTCTGGCCTCTGGCCCCACCCTGAGGCTGCCTGCCCCACCTTCTGGGGCCAGGGAAGAAGTTAGTGCTCCTCCTGGCTCTGGCCACACCTACCAGGCTGTGCCTTCCTGGCCCCAGTTCAGGGCAAAGCCTCAGCGAGAGTCCCACTTCAGTCTGTGTGTCGTGACAGGCGCTGGCGCTGTCCCCGAGGGCCCAGGCCTCACACCGACGCCTGGCTCTGCCGTCCTGACGTGACCATCGTGGTTGCCTGTTTTGTGACTTCCTGGGGCCCTTTCTCTGCCATCTCTTCCCAGATGGTTTACCCCAAGCATCATGAGGACAAAACAAGGGAAAGGAAGAAGGGAGCAGAGAAGAGGTTGGGCTGGTTCTAGGGATGGACTGTCTGTGCTCCAAACCAGCCGGCGCTTCCCTGGGCCTCCGCCGACCTCCGTTCTCCGCACGGCAGCTCTGCTCTCACTCCAGCTTTGAAAACAGGACTTGCCTTCCGGCTCCACTGATGCACCGAAGGACTTGAGCGCAACACGGACTCGGCGAGAAGTGCCGGGCGGAGCCTGGGCGCCGCGCCCCGCGGCACCGAGGCGCGTGGGACCCGCCGCCCTCCGGCAGCCTTCCCCATTTCCCACACCCGCCGCCGCCGGGCACGGCCACAGCGGGCACCGCGGGTCCTCTGCAGAGGGGCGCCCCGCTTGTGGTACGGATGGACCTCACAGCCAGCCGACATGGGGGACACGGCGGCGATTCCGCGGCCCAGTGATGTTTGGCGACGGACGCGTCAGGTGACAGTGGGGACTGCGTTTCGTTTGCACGGAATTGTTTGGAAAGGACGACGTTCCACGTGTATCCCTCCTGAGTTAGGTGTGCCTTGCTTTTCTTTCTCAGCCCATTCTCAGCTATGGGGACGTTTCTAGGTTTGCTTTTCGGGAAGTACCGGTCCAGCAGGCGACCGAAGACGCCTCCGCCTCAGACCTCTTCTCAGAGACCAGCGGCGAGGAGCAGCTGGGCCTCGGACCTTTGCGTGAACGCTGCTGAGGAGCCGAGGTTGGGACGGATATTCTTACAGTGACTCCCCATTTCCATACTCTTGTTTGACAAAAGGGACACGTGTGGCATTTCGGTTTTACCCTGAACAAGTTTTGTCTCTCCTGAGCCCCCGCAGAAGACCAGGTGGCGCGGGTCGGGTTCCGCCCAAGGCCCCTCCCCTGGAGCTGTGTTCAGTCCCCGGGGCCCTGCTCGAGCTCCCCTGGAGCGAAGCGCGCTGGGGGCCCCAGCCTCTTGGGTCTCCGTGGAGGTGCGGGGGGTGCGGAGGGATGGGGGGGGCCTGGGCGGCGGTCCTGGGGCGGGGAGAACACCCCCGTGCCCTGGAGGGACAGTCTCAGCCCGCAGGGTCAGCCCGCCTGTGCCCCCCGGGGCCGCCACCTGGGGGACGGCACAAACCCGGCCGAGGGCAGGGGGCTGTTTTCTGAGCAGGCCTTGCACGGCGCGCTGGGAGTGTGACGGGCATGGGGTCGGGGGCCGGTCTGCGTGACCGGGCTTCCTGGTCCCTCCACGCTCTGCGGAGCAGGCTGGGGCTTGGTCAGGGAGCTCTGCGGGCGGGCCCCTCGGGGCCGTCCAGCTGCTGCCGTGGCCTGAGCCAGCACCCAGCCTCGGGCGCCCCTGGCGGAGGCCTGGAGCCGCAGGGGCCGCGAGGGGTGCCTCTCGCTCCTGTGGGGGGGCGCAGGGACCGGCAGCGTGGGCTGTGGCCGCCGGGAGCAGGCCCCCGCCCTGCAGGTGCCGGGGGGCCGGGGAGAGGAGCGAGGACCCTTCCTTCCCCTCCTGCTCTGCGTCCCCAGAGCCCTTCTGGGGCCGGGGCCCGTTGGGGAAGGTTCTGAGCTCAAAGGGCCTGCAGGAGCCCGGTGCGCGGTTCCGCCAGCCCGGCTGCAGAGCCCTGAGCCAGACGAGGGGGAGCCGCCCGGGGCCCTGCTGGCCGCCTTGGTCCCCATGTTCAGGTCGCTTACCTTTTCCTGCGGCAAAATGCACGTTCCCACTGTCCAGGGCTGAGGGCCCCTGGGGACAGACGTATCACAGGCCCGGTCCCGGCCCAGGCCTGCGGGGAAGGGAGGGGCAGCTCCCTGGCCTGCCTGCCAGCTGTTCTCCGTGGTCCGAAGGTCCCGCCCCAGCTGCATTGGCCTGTCCCGTCTTAGAGGCTCAGAGCAGGAGAGGGCTTCTCAGAGAGGCCCTCTTATTAGGGGTGCCCCACGCCCCGAGCGCAGGGATGAGCAGGCCGGAGGGGGCCCTCTGCAGGGCGCCCAGCAGGTGGCAGCCCTCGCTCTGGGAAACCGCCCAGGGCAGGAGGCAGGGCAGAAGCCACCTCAGAGCAATGAGGCACATGTCCCCAGCGCCACCAGGGGGGCGCGGGCGCGGGAGCCTGAGGCGGGGGTGTCCTCCACAGAGGCCAGACACAGCCCGAGCCCAGAGGCCTGGTTGCAGTCTGCTCTGGGAGACGCCCAGGCTGCCCACTGGGCCCTGGGCGCCGCTCTGGGCACGCGGCAGGGCAGGTCTCAGGCACAGGGGAGCAACGCCAGCCCCCTCCGCCCCTGAGGGCGCACCCGGGCGGGCGAGGCAGTGGACGGGCCGCGGCCTTTCCTGTCGCGTGTGCTCGAACCTGACTGTGTCCGTCAGCTCTTGGGGACGCCAGGCGGCAGGCAGGGCACCTGGCCACACGCAGCCTGTCCCGGCAGAGCCCCCCCAGGGACGGGCAGGACACCCCAGCGCCGCAGAGGAAGAACGTTCTCCATCCCCGTGACCCGAAAATGACACTGGTTCCCAGGCACGCTTGCTGAGGCAGGAGGGCTGCGTGTCCCTGCGAGGAGCTTTATGTTTCCCCACGGGCTGGTTGGTGGCGGCGGCCAGGGCTGTTCTGCGCGGGGTCTCCCAAATCCCAGGTGTTCTGGGGACCCCCTGGGCAGACCTGCTCTGCACCCACTGGCTCTGACCAGATGGAAGGTCCTTCAGCAGAGCCAGTCCTCGCCAAGGGGCACTGGGGACCCCAGGAGCTGCCCCCAGCCGGACACGGACAAGGTGAGGCAGCACCAGGAGCCCTTTGCCCCAGCAGGTGCTGCCAGCTGCTGGGGGTGCCCTCTGAGGCACCCCAGGCCTGGCGGCCCGCCCCGCACTGCCCCGGGCACCGCGGGGCCTCGCTTCCCCCGATTCCCGGCCCAGGAAGCCCCCTTCCGGCAGGGCCGGCACGGCCGGCAGTCGGCAGGGACCTCCGTGGAGTCCACGGAAGGGAGCTGCCTGGAGGGGCCTGCTTCTTGCTGCTTCGCCCGCTGGGGGGGCTGGGGCCAGACATCCCGCCGCAGCCCCTGCCCGTCCCTTGGGGGGCCTGGGGGTCTCGGCCTGGCAGGGCCCCCAGCCACCGGGGCCACAACGGGGGCCCGCGTCGGACGCCAGGCCCTTCGACCCAGGCGTCAGACCCGCAGGGCGGCACCGCAGGCACCGCAGGGACCGGCAGTTGCCACCTGTCACGCGGCGCCCTGGGCCGCCCCGCCAGGCTGCATGTGGCTTGGGGGCCTCTGTTAAGGGGTGACTCACATGTTTTGGTGCCATATGTTCGGGAAATGTGTGCACCTTTCCATCTTCAGCCAGAAAGAGGCGGAGTTTGGGAGCTGCTTCCCCACCGCACTGCTGCCCACCCCCTTGGGGGCTCCTGGGGCTGCGCCGCGTCCCGCTGCCTCCACAGCGCCGCCCTCGCCCCTGGCAGTAAGACGCCTCCCGACCCCCGTTCGGCCCAGCGCCCAGCTCGGAGGTCTGCCGCCACCCACCCAGCGCCCGGCGCGGAGCCACGGCGTCCCCCTCCCAGCCAGGCGGAGCCAAGCCCGAGGCCTGGCCAGTCTGCCTGCGGAGGCGTCTGACCTGGGAGACCTGCACACAAGTGCCCAGTGGTCACCTCTGATTCAGACGCACGAGTCGCGACAAGCGGTCTTTCTCCCTGACCACACAGGCCCGATCAGCCACAAAATCAGTTTAAAATAATTGAGAGCTGAAGGAACAAAGAAACCTAAGTAACTGAATTAAGCAACACAGGAGGCCCACGGCCACTCACCCCACGACGGAGTGGAAGAGCCCGGGGCGGCAGAGCGTGGCGACACGGTCAGACTGAGCGTCGGGGCCCCCCTGCAGCCTGCGTAGAAGGCCGGGGTCAGGAGGGGCAGCTGCGGGAGCCCCCCGGGGTGTACGGACCCCCAGGTAGGAGGCGATGGGGAGCACGCGGCTCTCGGTCCTGGGCCGGGCCTCCCCTCGCCCGCGCCCCTACGCCCCAGCCTGAGGCAGCAGCGGTGTCCCTGCCCGGCCTCGCTGCCCGCTGGGAGCTGCTGCTGGAGGGGGCGGGGGGGCGGGGGAGCACAGCTGCAGAGGATACATTTGGGGGCTTCTCCTCCCAAAAGAATCCAAACCTCAGGCACAACCTCACACAAAGAGAAGGCTGCGTTAGAAGAGAGACAACAGAGAATGACAGAACGTCAACACCAGGGAACTTCCGACGTCCGTGAGAAACACCTGCGTTCCTTCCTGACACCTGCACGCTGTTCCTGTTTCTTGACCGAGGACGTTTGCGTGAGCCTGCCTGCGTGAGTCCTTGCGGTCTCACCCACTGTCCGGGAAGCTCGCTCCGTGTGTGTCGCCGGTGGTGCGGCGTTGGCAGCCGCCCCCAGCCAGGCACCGTCCTCTGGCAGGGCCCCCGGAACGTCCTTTCCCAGCTGTGGGCTCCACCCACCCCAGCCCCACGACCCTCTCTCCTCGCTCCCGGCCCGGGGGGCAGGCCAACCCCGAGTTCCTCCGGGCCAAGAACAGGCAGCAGCCAGGTCAGCTGGGCAGCGAACCGAAAGGCAACGTGCTGTGCTGACCCCGCGGCCCTGCCCCCGAGCCCAGCAGCGCAGGCAGCTCCGCTGGAGACGGGACCAGGGGACGAGGCGGGGCGGGGGGTGGGCGGCAGCTTTCCCCGGGCCAGGACCAGGCGCTCGCGGCCTCGGGCCTAGTAGTACTACCCCCACTCAGCAACTGGCCGCAGGCCTGCCGCTCCCTGGAGGCCCGTCGGCCTGCACCCCAGATGCCCGGGACCGAGGGGCCAGCTGGGAAAGGAGCAGAGGAGCAGAGGGCGGGACAGGTTCCCGCCAGGGCAGGACGGTGTCGGGGCTCCGCTGTGTCAGTGGAGCGGGGGCCCCAGAGCGCCAGCGAGAGCCCCCGCCCTGCCTGCCCGTTCCCGGTGTCTGCTGCACTGAGGGCTGGCGAGGTGGGCCCCACAGCTACTCCAAGACTGAACGCCTGTTTTTAAAAGACGAAATGCGTAAAAGACACAAACGACCAATTTAAGTTTATTGCTTCTAAGACACATACCCTTTAAACTATTTTCCACCAGAAAGGGCTATTTCAACCCCCCCCCGGGGGGCAGTCACAGTCGCTGAGGGCCACGCCCCGCCCCGCACCCCTGCGGCCACTTCCAGGCGAGTGGGGCCCCACCACCCAGCCTCCCGCGGCCCCTCCCGGCGGCCCCCCCACGCGGTCCCACTGCCCGCTTCGCCGGCTGCACGAGGGCCCTGACCTGAGCCAGGAGGAAGGGCCACGCAAGAACAACGTGGGGGGTAGTACCACTCTTGCCCGTTGCACTGAGTGACTTGTGATAAAGCGAGGAGCGTGCCACTTCCACTGCAGGGCAGCCGCAGGCCCCAGAGAAAAGGGGCTGCGTCTGGCTAAGGGCAGGCAGGAGGGGCGTGAGAAATGGGAGCGGGCGGGGGGCCACCTCCCTCGCGAGCTGGGGAGAGAGGTGCTGGCGGCCGGCATCCGCGCAGGGCGCCGGGACCGGCCCAGCCCGCGACCCCGCCAGCCACCCTCCCCATCGAGGGGCTGCCAGCGACGCGTGCCCACACCCCTTCAACCCTAGCGCCGGTTCCCCGGAGCGGGCACGGGCGCCGGCCCAGGGCCGGGCCCTCAGGGGATCCCGGAGACCGCTCAGGTGTCTGAAGACCCCCGGGGGCCGGGCCGGCGTGCGCCCTTCGCCTCGTGACGCTTGTATGTGAACAGCCACAAATTAAACGCTGACAGTCCACACGTCACTCCAACAAACATGGAAGACAAGGCCAGCGCGGCCCCCACAGCAGGTCCGGTCGTGGCTGCGGAACAGACGGCGCCGCCCTCCGGCCTGCCACGGGCAGTCCCTTGGGTCCACAGCCGGACGCCGACCCGAGTGCCCTGCGGCTTCGGGAGTGACAACTGTGCGGAAGAACGAGCCCTTAACAAGTAAACACACCAACTGCCAGTTTTCGGGTTATAAACGTTTCTAATTAGCAGCAGAGGATGTTTATAGAAAAAATATACTTTTAAGAAAATAGCTGAAAAAGTCTAAAGAGATAAAAGTATAAAAAGTTTAAAAAATATATCTTAAGCCAAAATATTGCCCAGAACATATAAAACTTAATTTAAAAAAATTTGCCTATCTAACGTCGAACAGCCCAGGCCTCCGCGGCACTGGGGCACTCGCGTGGAGGAGACCCGGCTGGTGGCACCGGGGCGGCGGGGACCCGCCTGCAGGAAACCGCCCAGCCCCGGGGCGGGGGGGGCAGTGGGGAGACTGGGCACGGTTCCGGGAGGGTCTTGGAATCGCTGGGGAGCAGGGCTGACCCGGTGGGTGGACCGAGGGCGCTCTGGGGTGTCTGTGGCCGCGTGGCCTGGCAGCCCACACCACGGGCTCAGGTCTCCACCAGGATCCCCACCACGTGGCCCCGCTCGCCCAGACCCCGCTTGCAGCCGGCGCCGGGCGGTGGGGCGCCCGCGGGGCCCAAGGCCTCCAGCCCGTCAGCGGGGCCCGACTTGCCGCCCACCATGCCCGTCAGCACGGCGTCCAGGTCGTAGTAGGGGCCGTCCACGTCCGCAAACAGCCCTTCCACGGGGCTGGGGGCTCGGCTCTCCAGTGTTTCGAATATGTGATCCAGCGACTTCTGAAAGCCCCCTCTGTGCTCTCGGGGGCTGTCCGCGTCCCAGACGCAGCTCGGCGCGCTCCTGGGCACCGGCGCACAGGGCCCCGCGGGCAGCTCCGGGGGCAGGCTGGCTGCCGGGCACGCCCCTTGCTGCTCCCACGCCGCACGGCACAGGATCTCCGTGGACACCAGGCGGCCCCGCGGCCCCCGCCCGGCAGGCTGAGGCGCCGGCGCCAGCCAGGCCCCGTCCTGGGTCATCTCCTCTTGGATCTGCCGGACCGTGTTGGCGATGAGGACCGAGCGGCAGAGGTCAGGCTCGACCAGCGTGTGGCACAGCTGCAGCTTGACCAGGGACATGTCCAGGAGCGACTGCCGCTGCAGGCTGTAGCACGGCGTGGCCAGGGCGCCCTCCGCGTCCTCCTCGCTGTCCGAGCACTTTCTCTTCAACCCGCGGGCAAACATCGTGTCCTGCGGAAACAGAGGAAGACGCCCTTTACCCCGGCCCGAGCCCCTCGCAGACCCACCCCAGGGCCCTGGGGAGACGGGCCGAGTGCGCGCGGGCGGGCGGGCAGGTGCCTTCCATTCCCGCACAGCCCCTCGGCAGCTGGGGGTGGGCACGAGCCACGCACACCTGTAACCCAGCACAGCTACCTCCCCAGGCGAGGACAAGTGGACTCAACACGGAGGACACATTTAAAGGGGGCGGGCGCGTAACACCTTCCTCACAACCCAGGGCTGGGCCCTGGGCTGCCCGACTGCGCTGCCAGGACCCGAGGCGCTGCGGGCAGGGCCCCTCGACGGCCGGGCTGCGGCGCCGCGCTCGCTCCCCCGGGCAGCCCTCAGCTGGGACACGGGCTACACAGCAGAGCCCCCGGGCGGGGCCTCCCAGCTGCGCTGTCTCCCTTCTCCAGTTTGTAAAATAGCTGAACATTTTTATTTCAAATAAATCACTCAAGCTATTCATAAAGAGGGTTAGAATCTTTAATGTGCACATTTTCATATATTTTCTATTTCCTTTTTAAAAACACCGGCCCTTTGGCTCCCATTGATGAAGCAGGAGTGGGCGGGCAGCCGCGGGGGCGGGGGCGGGTCCCTGCCGAGGAGGTGGCCGCGCTGGGGCCGTCCCTCTCCCCAGGCTCCAGCCCGCCTGCCCCGCCCGTACACAGGAAAAGGCTGACCCCCCAGGTATCTGACATCTGACTTTAAGTGGCCTTGGGCATTTACCCCCAGGAATGAAAGCCAGTGTCCACGCAAAGCCCTGTACCAGCACGGTCACAGCAGCTGCGCTCGGCCTCCGGCGGAAACGAGCGGGCGCAGGCCTGGCCAGGTCCTCGGGGCTCCCCCGCCCCCGCAGCGGGAGACGTGCACCCGGCCCCCAGGGCCCGAGTGCCCCGCCCGTGAGCAAGCCAGCCTCGGGGGCTGCGGGCTGGGCGTGGCCAGCCCCCGGGGACGCAGCCCCCGTGCACAGAACCTCACGCCGCACACAGTGCACCCGCCACCTGATTCAGCTCCACGGCCACCGGGGAAGGGTGGCTGGGGGATATTTCTTTGCGACTTCCTGCGGATCGATAATTATTTGGAAATTAGAAACTGACCCCAGTTTATTCCCCTAGGAGACTACCTTCTGCAGAAGAGCAGACGGGTCTAACCCGTTGACACAGCCCAGCACCGCCCGCGACTCCTGCCCGGGCACCTCGCCGGCCAGCGCGCAGACTGCCCAGGAACGGACGCTAACCCCGGACACAGGAAAGCGTCCGGCTGCTTCTGCTAATAAAGGTTCGAGCTTCCTGTCTTCGTAGCAAATTCAACTTTCACAGCACTGGTTTAAAAGTCAGTAGCTTAAAACTGATTAGGAACAGGGTGGGCAAAAGTAGGTTTACAGTTGTGAGTACATGAAACAGTTTATTCTTGTATCATTACTGACTTGTTGCATTATTTCCCACAAGAACAACTGTAGACCTACTTCTGCCCCTCCCCCCCGCCCGGTGTTCTGAGAACAGATTATGTCAAACGGTAAAAACACATCCTGTATTGAGGGAAAAATGGAAGTTTCAAGGGTTCTTCTCCGGCAAGTCACTGCCCCTCGTTTGCTCCGAGTAGCATTTTCAACAAACCCCAAAACTCGAGCTCTGCCTGACAACTGATTTAATGCCAGGCCCAAACCAACTCACCGGCACAGCATCAGCCCCTCGTGCCCCCCAGATTCTAGGGTCTCCGGGGGTCAGGGTGCCACGAGGGCTGCTGGGGTGGCGGGGGGTGCACCGAGCACCCGGAGGCCTCGGAGGGGCCCTGGGGAAGCCGGGGCAGGCAGGCACCTGCAGGGAGCCGGCCTCTGTCCCAAGGAGCAGCCCTGGAAGCCAGCAGCTCTCTGCAACAGCAACCACGTGTCCCCACTTCCAGCCTAGGCCCCCCAAGCAGTCCCCGGGGCCACCCGCTTCCCCAGGCCCCCCAGTGTCCCAAGCCCCTCTTCCCACCAGGAAGCGCTCCCCCCGCCCCCAGACCTGTGCCAAGCAGGCAGTGGGGACCACTGGGAGCTGCTTGGCGCTCTTTGCCGCCTGCCCTCCCTCCCGGCCTCGCTGGGACTCCCGGGAAGAGGACCAGAGAGTGCAGGGTGAGCCCCTCGTCGCCCAGCTCGGTCCTGCGCTGTCTCCAAGCACCTCTGCTCCGAGGCGACCGACCCATCAGTGGTTCTGCTCTCTTGCAGACCACACTGTCTGTGTCGGGGGAGGGTCCACAGCTTCTGCCAACAGTCGCTCACTTACCCCAACAAACATACCCGCTGCCCAGGGACCCTCGGACAGGGTGCCCCACCACCCACCGCCTCCCCGTTTCAGTGACGCTGGCTCTGACTCGGGCTCACCAGGGGTCCCGGTGCTGGACCCTTGGAGCAACCCCGCCCGCCCTGCCCCGCCCCAGCCGACCGAGAGCGGAGCAGCATCAGGCCGGGGGCACCCACCCCTGCTGCCGGGGAGGCGCTCACCGCCCGCAGCCCCGGGCTCTCCTGCACCGACTGCCCTTTCGGGCAGTCCCAGCACCACAGGCACCTCAGCCACGCTCCCGCCGCCCCTTCCCACGAGCCCCCCTGCTCCACGGCCTCTCCCATCGGCCCGCTTCCCACCAGACGTCATGGGTGAACAGTGCTCTGCTCGTCCATGCAGCACGAGTCAGCAGTCACTACACAGACCAGACAGTGATCTCAAAACGCACACAGTAAAAAAGCAAGAGCAAACGTAGGCGCCACTGGACTATAGGACCTGCAGAACAGGCAAGCTGACCCAAGGGCGCACAGCGGAGTAAGTCAGGGAGCTGCCCACAGGCCACTGGCCTCGGCTCTACTCAGGGCACTACAAGGCGCCTGGTGAACAGGGACTTGGGCAGAGCCTGCTGTCCCCCAAGCCCCTCAGGTGGGCGGCCCGCTGCGCACACCAGAGCCGTTCCCGGTCGTTCCTCTCAAACGCTCCATACCCTCGGCAGCTGCCCGGCTGTCACTCAGCAAGGGAGGGCCACAACTGAGGACACAGCGCAGCCTGTCCAACCCCAGGGGGGCCTGGGGAGAGCCAGCTGAGCAGGGTCCTGAGGGCCCGAGAGGTGCCGGCGCAGAGGTTGGCCTGGCCCCGCACAGCCTTCCGCAAAGCCCTCCCCGCAGGGGCGCCCAGGCCCTGGCTCCGAGGGCGCCTCCCCTGCAGAGCCCGACCCCATGGCAAGTCACTAACAGACACCGTGAGGCACCCCCACCTCCATTATCTCCCGGAGCAGCCAGATCGTCCTGCAGCGCGTCTAGCGAATGCCAGATTCCTACCTGACACCCTCCCAGGTCCACCCGCTCTGCCCTTAGGCCTCCTCCAGACCAGCTGACCAGTCAGAGACACGGGAGGAGGAGCTGAGTTTCCACAGAGGGTGGAGCCAGAAGGGCGCCCTGAGGGGCCACCCAGAGCCCCCCAAGGCAGAGGGGACCCAGGCCCACTGCACGAATCCTCCGCAGGCGAGGTGGGTAGAGGCGCAGAGCCCCAGATTCTGAGCAGCAGGGTGGGGGCAGGCTCGGCTCCGACCCAACGCGCCCCCAAGACCTTCGGCCCCCGCCAGGCACGCAGCAGCCCTGGGTTTTTAAGGCAACTCCACACTCTCGGTTTGTCACTCGATCAGATCTGCAGGGATACCTCCATCAGAGAGCAGCGGGGTGGCAGGGCCACCCGGCCCGCAACAGCAGCGGCCGCCGCTGTGGGGCTGACGCTTCTCCTAAGCTATTGCTACAAAGAGAACGTCAGGTCCTCTGTGATCTGGAGTGAAATACACAAACTTTCTTTGCCCAGAAACGTGTCCCGGTAGCGTGGCGAGGGGAACTCCCTGCCCTCTGTCCAAGCTAAAATCTGCAGAGGTTGTCACAGCCATTTTATTCTGAACCTCAAATTTCACGTGAAAACGTGACAAAACTTGAACACAAAGCAGTTGTACGTAGGAAGTGGATAAGAAGTGAGTTCAGTATTTTTCTTGGCTTGTTTTAAAAGACCAATATGCCCGTCTGGTGTGGGTCAGTGGACTGACCATCAACCTGTGAACCAAAGGGTCGCTGCTTTGCTTCCCAGTGAAGGTTACAGGCCAGGGTTGCAGGCCAGGTCCCCAGTGGGGGGTGCACAAGAGGCAACCACACATGCATGTTTCTCTCCCTCTTTCTCCCTCCCTTCCCCTTGCTCTAAAAAAATTAAATACATAAAATCTTTAGAAGAACAGTGACCTCGGTCCTGCATCCTGAGCGAGCAGCACACAGGCCGCCACCAGCCGAGGAAATGCAGCCGGGAAGCCGGCTGCCTGGACCGCAGCCCCCCGGCCGGCCGTCACCCGGGGCACTCTCCTGCCGGTAACCCTATTTTGGGTACAACGAGCCTTTGAAGAAGTGGAGCTGAGCTGGCCTCTGGGTTGTGGAAGTGAGTTCCTGGTACTTTTTCAGGCCACAGCCGGGCGCCCCCCAGGCCGACGGTGCGGGGCGGCAGGGCAGCCCCAGGAGCCCGGCGCAGACAGCTCTCCTGCAGGTCCAGTCCAGTCCAGGGCTGTCCTGTCCGCCCCACCGGCCTTGGTCAGTCTCCGCGGGGCTGGGAGGCTTCAGCAAGATGCACAGGAAGCCGGCGGACTGCCCACCTTAGACCACGAGTCCAGCATCCTCTGCTCAGGCCTTCCCTGACCAGCTCGGAGGGAAATCGGAGGAGGTGCAGTTTGGCACAGGGGAGCCATTGCAAAATATCCTTAGTGCTCCTTTACAAAGTAATTAGAACCAAGAAACAAAGGGGAAGAACGCGGCCCCGGAGAGAGGTGGTTCCAGCTGGGTTGTCAGGGAAGGCTTTGTAAGGCCAGCAAACCCGATTTTTGTCAAAGGGACCTAAGATGACATTCAAGTGCTCCATTGCTGACATCCAGCACCCACTCTGCATTCTGCACGGACTGCCGACTCGGAAGGGAGCGTAAATCACGGCCACGGTGGATCGCCGCGGGTGTGGGGCAGGGCAGGTGGACGGGTAAGCGGATGGTGGGTGCCTGAACGGGTGGGAGGGAGGCGGAGGGGGGTAGGTGGATGAAGGAATGGATGGGTGGGTGGGTGGACGAGCAAGAGACGAGGAGCAGCAGCCACGGGGCCCTCTACTCAGGGCTATACGTTTAAGTAAGCGCGACGAGGGTCAGCCCCAGGGTCCCCGCCGCGCTTCCCGGAGCGTCTCCCGGGGACCAGGAGGAGGAGCCGGAACTGCCCTTTCCCCAGTCCCGCGGAGGAGAGTGGGGGCTCCGCTGCGGAGGCCGGCACAGCACAGCAGCGCCCCCGCCCATCTGAAGTCCTCCAGCGATCAACGGGAGCCCCCGCTGGGTTACGGACACGAAGGAGCCGTAGCTCGGGGTAGAGAGAGCGCGGGACGGTGAAGGTCGAGGCTGTGGCTGCACCGGCGGGAATCCAGGCGGCAGACGACACGACGGGGAGGCGGGGCCACGCGGTCGTGCCCTCCTCCGAGCGCCCGCCGCCCGCCTGCCGGGCTCTGGGCCCCAGGCCCCCGGCCCCCGGCCCCCAGGCCTATCGGGTCGCCCCCGTGTTGCCTCCCCGCCGCCCCAGACCCCGGGCCGCCGCGCCGCCCCCGGGCCCCGCAGCCTCCACGGCGACGAGGGCCGCCAGAGCGTGCCAGTGTGCCCTCGGGGACCGCCGAGGCGGCGGAACCGGCAGCCGGGCCCCAACGCTCACCTGGCCGCCCGCCGTCCACGCCGCCGCCCGCCGCCCGCCGCCGCCGAGGGAGGGGCGGGGCCTGGGCGGGGCCGCTCAGGGCCCACAAAGAGTCGCGGGGCACCGCCCGTCCCGCCCGCGGATTGGCCGGGCTCGGAGGCGGGGCCCCCGTTTCAAACCAGGGGCGGGGCCTGCCGCTCCAGTTCCCGCGCGGCCGCGTTGGCCGTTGGGCCCGCGCCCTCCGCGGGCCCGCCCCCGCCGGCTCCCAAGTCTCCGCGCGCGGCTAGAGTGCGCCTGCGCAGGCCACCTTCGGGGCGGGGCGAGGATGTGAATGAGGGAGGACCAGGCTGGGGCAGGGGAAGGGGGAGGAGCGGAAGGAAGCTAGGGGCGGGGCGTAGAGAAGGGGCGGGGCCGGAGGAGGTGGCGGGCCGGGGGACAGGGGACAGACGCGGGGGCCGACAGGGCCGCAGCCCCTTGGGCAGCCCGGGTCACTAAGGGGCCTCCGAGCTCACATGGAACCACTGAAACCGTAAAAGTGAAAAGCGGGGGAAGTGGTTTTCTTTTTTTTTTAATAGTGGAAAAGGCCTTACGTAGGATAGAAAATCCTGAACTCACTAGTGCAGGTGAGGACTCGGGTGGTCCTGTGTCCTGTGCTGGGGGCTGAGGACATGACCGTGCAGGTCACACAGGCCTTAGGGTGAGGGGGCATCGAGGAGACACCCCAGGGAGGGGAGGACGGGAACTGGGGGCGAAGTGGGGACAGACGAGGCGGGACCGCGCCTGGCGCAGCCTAAGCAGGGCGGGAGCCTGGGCTCCCCTGGGCCGACCCCTGCAGGGCCGCTGCTCGGCAGAGGCGCGGGTCCTGAGCTGGGCTTGAAAAGGGTCCCCGTTGAGAAGCCGGGGGGGGGGGGGAGGGGTGCGCTGGATGGAAGGTCGCTGTCCTGGGGTGAAAGACTAGGACTGCAACAAATGTGAGGACATACAGGTGTAAAAGATGCGTATGTTCTAAGCATATGCCACACAAAAGATTAAATTCCTTAATACACACATACTATTCGGTAAATGAAAGCATGATCAACAAACCGGGAGCGACTGGGCAAAGGGTGTTGACACAGCAGAGCAAAGGAGAAAACGCTGTTGAGCTGGTGGGAAGGGGCTCAGCGGCCGCACAAGAGGCGGAGGCGGGCTCAGACGGTCAGGGCGGCAGCACCAGCAAGGAAGTGCCCTCCCGGGCTGCCGTTGTTTTTCACCCACAATGTCCAGCATAAGATTAAAAAATTAACAGGCATACCAGGACACAAGAACAAAAAATGTCCCAAAAAAACCAAACCCAAAAAACAAACAAAAAAAGAAAAACAAGGGGAAAAAAAACCCAGATAATAGAAACAGATTCATGGGTGGCCCTGATATTGGAGTAATCAGTTTTTAGAAATAGTAACTGTTCAAGTTACTAATAGTGATCAAAAAAGTTAATGACAAGGAGAACTGGAATCTGTTAAAAAGACTCAAACAGGAGCAACAGCACCCACTTCACCCAGAGGCTCTGGAGGGTGAGGAAGGGACTCTCCCCTGCTAGTCCCCGGGGGCCCGCAGAACCCTCGGATGGTGACAGGAGAGGAAAACCACAGGCTCCCCTCTCGCATGGCCAGCCTCTAAAATTCCATGCCAAACCCCAGCAAATCAAACCCAGGGATATAAAGAAAGAGAACACCTCACCCCAAGCTGGGTTTATCCCGGGGATGGGCGGTCAGTTCCCCATTTCAACCAACCAGTGGACTTTATCGTAATAAAATGAGGGAGCAAAAAATGACAAGTGTCAGTAGGTGGAGAAGACTCACCTGATAAAATTCGACACACATTTGTGATACAAGTAGGGAAACCGAACACACGGGTGCCAAGTGAGGACCGGTCCACAAAGGCATCCTCACTTCAGGTGCTTGTTGCACGCGGAGGGGCCATCGAAACCAGGCAGCTTCGAAAATTCACGGGAAGGGCTCAGAACGCTCACTGAAAATGGACACACGCGGTCGCGGCTCATTTCCGTCCAAGGGCCAGACTGAAGTCCGCTGGGGCAGAGGCACGTGGGGCAGGTCCAAGCAGGCTCCAGGCACGGGGCTTCCACCGTGCACGGCCCAGGCCCCCCCCAAAACACACCTCAGACTGTGTGGTGTGGCCCCTGTGCCCTGGCAAAGAGGCGCTATTAGCAGGCAGGGTGCCCCAAGGGTTTCCAGATTGCCCCTCGGGACCCCAAGTGCCAGTACCAGACTTGTCCTTGGGCGGGGATCACGTCTACTGCACAGCAAGGGAACTCCCTCCACTTCAATAAAGTGTACTTACAAAACACCTGTAGGAAATGCTAGAGCGTGTGGATGAAAAGGGGCCCACATACCACATACGACAAGCCCAGGGAGGCCCGCATGAGCAGGTCTCGCAGACTCAGAGCCAAAGCGGCCACCCAGGATGGTCACTGACGTGAAAACCTCCAACTGCAAGCGGGTCAGGGCAGGCGGTTGCGTCACAAAGGCCAGTAGCTTCCTTCACAAAGGTCAGTCTTTGCCTTAACTGAGCCTGACTATTGCCTTTTGCATCTAAGATAACATGCCTTTGAAATGTCAGCCTGATCTCCTTTTCCAGCCCCCCAGGGCTCACCGGCCTGCAGCAGAGCCCAGAGACCCCCCATCCTAGCCTGCCCCCCCATCTGCATGGGCTGTGTTAACTAGCCTGTCCCCACCAATATAAAAGAAGTCTATGTCTCTTCATTTTGCTTTTTATCTAATCCCAGAGATTCTCCCACTTTGCTTTCTCCCTCCCCCCATCTCCCACCCATGGGTTCATGTGACCCCCCCCCCTTTTATGGCTCCTCCTTTGATGCTAATGTATAAAATAGGGCGCGAAACTGCCGTTCTCAGGAGCATTTTCCCAATCTGTTGAGATTTTGCTTCTCAACAACTGTCATCGCTTTGGCTCAAATAAAAACTGCCCGTTCGGACATCCCGCACCTGGGCAAGTGTACGGGGAAACGGTGTGAACGCAAGGGCTCGGTCCCGAGAGTAGAAAGAGAGCCAGGTGCGTCTGCGCCCCCGCTCCCTCCAGGCCTTGCGGGGCACAGCCTGGCGCAGGCCAGGAGACGAGAAAAGGGAGTAACAGGCGCAGGACTTGAACTAAAGCGATCTTTCCTGGAGAGAAGGCTTGGAATGCAGAAATCCAAGGAATCTTGTCCCAACCAGCTCAGGACAGAACAGCACGGAGGGCCCCTCAGGCCACGGACGTTTCTTCCTCGCAGCCCCAGGATCAAGGCTGGGCTGCCGCTGAGCGCAGGGCCCCGCCCCTGCTCCTAAGGGCGCCAGGCCCGTCAGATCTGCACCCCACCCCTCCTTCACCTCATTCACCCCTAACCCCCTCCAAGCCCTCGCCTCAGGGAGGGCACCCTGGGGTCCCGGGCTTCGGCTTGTGAACTTGAAGGGCGCCCAGTTCGGTACACAGCAAATCTCCAGAGAGATGCATGAAAGTAACAAAGAATTAAGCACGGCCGTCAGATAAACGACTAATACAGAACAATCAATTGTATTTCTATATGCAAGTAACACACCGTTTTCATATTTTAAAAAGCTTGTAGTGATCCCGTTTGCAGAGCCTCACACACATCCGCCAGCACCCGCGGAGAGAGCGAACAGCACACGTGCACGACCTGAAGGTGGAGGAGCTCGAATGGGGCCGAGAGAAACGACCGACTCTCCGCGGTCCTTTCCCAGGCCCTCAGGCCGGAAGGCGCCCATCACGAAGGCAGCCGTCCTCTGCAGACTCCAGGAGCGCAGGCCCTGCCCTCCCCTCCCCTCCCCATCAAACCCCAGCCTGCGCTCCTGGAAACGGAGGATGCTTCTGAAACGTATGTGCAAATACAAAGAGCCGAGAAGAGCCCAGACGGCCTTGGAGAAGGTCGGCGACGCCAGGCTCTGGGACGAGCTCCGGAGGCCGGCGGGCCGCGCGCACAGCCTGTGACTCAGCTGTTCTGCTCCCGGGGCCGGGCCGGGGCTGCGCCTGCGCACGTTCCCGAGGGAGCGGCCCCAGGGGGCTTGCGGCAGGGCCGCGCTTCAGAGCCCCAACGCCAGAGCCGCCGCAGGGCAATGGGCTGGCTGTGCCCGGGCTTTGGGTCTGAGGGGCCTATTTTATTAAAACGGCCTCATTGAGATGTAATCACAGGCCGGACACTCACCCTTTTGAAGTGCACGAGCCCTGTGTTCAGGGTTTCAGTGTGTTCAGGGTTTCAGAGGCCGGCAGCCACCGCCCCAGCGCTTCCAGGACCTTTCATCACCCCCGGGAAGAACACTGTGCCCCGTCCAGGCCAAGCCCCTGGCAACCCTGATGGCTTTCGGTCTCCCTGCGCCGACACCTCGCAGACGGGGCGGCCTAGTGGCGGGGCTTTCTGCGCCGGGATCTCGCTCGTAGCGCGGCGCCTTCATGGCTCCTGCGCGCCCTGGGTGTCCGCGCCGTGGATGCGTTCACGGTCGGGTGGGCATCCGGGTGGCCCCTCCGGGATGCTGTGAGCGGGCGCGGGCGCTTCCCCTCGCCTGGGCGGGTCCTGGGAGTGGGACCGCCGGGTTCTGGGGCGCCTTCACACGGGGTCACCTGGGGAGCCCTGGCCTGTTTTCCGCAGCAGCGGCCGCACCTTACGTCCCCCCAGCGTCGCGGCACACTTACCATAGTGTCTAGATTTACGGTCCTGCCGCCCGGGTGGGACACGCAAGGGCACCTGCATGGCAGGGGGGTGACAGGCGGCAGGAGTGAGCTCCACACCGTGTCCCCTGCGCCGCGGGGCCCACCGTGCCCAGGAGCGGGCTCCGGTCTCCCTGCCGCGCGGTCCTGCGAGTTGGCAGTGAGGCTAGGCCCTGGCCGGTGTCACTGTCACCGGTGGCGTGGCCGGCTGTATCACCGGGCTCAGGGTGTTTCTCCTTCTCCGGCCAGCCCGGGCGGGGGCTCACAGGTGGGTCGTCGCGAGGTGGGCCCCGAGGTGTAAGCCCTGAAGGCGGCGGCGGGTTGCGCGCTCCGGCGGCAATGCTGCCCCCTGGCGGCCGCAACCAGCACTCGGGGCGCTGGGGCCGCCGTGGAGACTCACGGCCTCTGCGTGGGGACCTGCGACCCCGGGAAAGACGCCCCTCACCCCCCGGAGCGGCCCTCGGTCCCGCTCTGCTTGGGCGCAGGACGCGCATGGCCTCCCTTAGCGCCCCCGCAGCCCTGCAGGCGGGAACGGCGGCCGTTCCCAAATCACAGAAGAAACCGAGACACGAAGGGCTGAGCTCTCCTGCCCACCAGCAGCTGTCCTGTGGCCGTGGGCCGCCCGGTGGGAACGAGGACCAGGCGCTCCCCGCGGCAGTCGCACCCGCGGCGCCGGGAGGAGGGGCTGAGCTGGGAAGGGGACCCCTGCCGGAGATGCGCTGGGGTGCTTGGCAGGCAGGAAGCTGGGGCGTGTCTGGTGGAGGCCCTTACTTTGGTGGACAGCTCATTAAATATGTGGGCGTGTGGGGGCTGCAAACGTCACAGGGGCCTGGGTGGGTCCCCGACTGGCACAGGGCTTGCCCATGTGCAGCCACCTGTCCACACATCGTGATTCAGGGAACCTCGAGGGTTCCCTGAGGGCCCTGCTCGGCACAGGTCTTGTCCTGGGAGCTGGTGGCCCCGAACAGACTGCAGGTGTCCTGGCCCCCCGGGATCCCGCCCCCCGCCCGCAGTGCGGGCACACTCGTGGGAAGAGCCAGGCGTGGAGGGCACGTGCTCCAGCCATGGCGCCCCCTGGGGGCGCTCAGGGCTCCCGCCTCCCCGCAGGGAGCACGGAGTCCAGGATGGAGCCCGTGGTGCCTGTCTGTGCCCCACGGCGGGGTCACCACCGGGAGGGGACAGATGTCAGAGGGAGGCGGGGGGGGGGGGGGGGGGGAACCAGCCAGTGAGTGTGGGAGGGAGGGAGCGCACTAAGGAGTGAGTGCGTGGGCCGGATGTGGGCGGGGATCTCCCGCGTGGGCCGCCCAGTTTTCATAAGCAGCGTGAGTCAGCTGGAAAGGTCAAAGGTTTATGGTCAGAGCCAGCAGGACAGTCACGAAAAGGTCAGCGCGAGCTGCAGCGGGAGGGGGTGGCCCGCGAGGTGTGCCCCATGGGGTACACAGATGACACCTCAGTCACCTGTACGCTTGAAAGTTATCGCAGTACCCGGTGTCACCCCAGGCAACTGACTTGGACTGAACAGGTACGTCAACGGAAGAGACAGAGGCCCGGAGGGGATGGCCTCGGAGGGCCAGGCGGCCGGGTGCAGCTCCTCCCTGCGCCTCCAGGGGGAACCCGCTCCCCAGCGAGACTGCGGCCTGGGGCTTCCTGCCCCCCAACAGCGAGAGAACAGCCCGCGGTAGAGCTGCCTGGTTGTGGGGGTCAGTTAGAGCAGCCCCAGGAAACACACCTCGCCCACCGCCGGCACCGCGCTGCCTTTACTGTCCCCGGAGGCTGTTCAAGAAGCCCCTGCTTGTCACTCTGAGAGCCCAGAGCATCCCCCGCCCGCCCCTGCCTGTCTGGCTTTCCAGAGAGCCCTTGAGGGAACTACTTACCCAAAAAGGTAAATTATTTCACTTAAAGAGGAAGCTGGCACTGACACATATTTGTTGCGTTTTTATTTCTAAACATATTTTCTAAAGGTCTTCTCGACGTCTCCCCCAATGAGGACCGACCGCCAGTGGCTGCCTTCCAGAAAGGACAGAGTAACTGAGCGCGCGGGCCCGCAGCTCCCCAGGGGACAGACCCCCGCAACGGGCCCGGGAGCCTGGACCCCGTCTCTGGCAGCTGTCCTGTCTCTGTGCCACCAGCGTGCGGCAGGGGGGGCCCCGGGCACAGGTCGTGCGTCAGCTCCGGATGCTGCCCCGGTGAGACGGTGTCACCGGGCCTGTTGCAGATGGGGAGACAGGCAGCGGTGTGTCCCAGGCCAGAAGAGGCTGATCAGGGGCAGAGCCTGCGCAGGCGCCAGGGAGCCCCCGGCAACACGACCTGAGGCAGACCCGGTCCCACGCTCCGTCTGGGACCCGGTGTCGGGGTGGGGCCGGCGGCCTTCTCCTGCGCACCCTGACCGCCCTGTCCCAGCCCTTGGCCGGCCCCATCCCCGACAATGAATCCAGGAAGCCTCGAAGCGGAAGCATGCCAACCATCCCCGAGCCCCGTGGGCAGCCGCCCCCTCCCGGAGTCCGCTGCCGCATCCAGCCAACATGAACACCAGGGCACCCCCCGAAGGTACGCGACCCTGCCCCCAGCTCCCCTGAGGGCTCACAGGAGCCCCCCGCCCAGCACCGACATGCTCAGCACAGAGCGCACCCAGCCGAGGGCGCCAGGGCTGGCTCCTGCCCCACAGGTCCCGGGCGCCCTGCCGCGACCAGGCACGGCGGGAAGGGGCTCGGCGGGCATGGCCTGCAGCGTTCCGTCGCAGGCAGCCGAGCAACACCCACAGGGCCGCACAGAACCAAAGCTGTCACTGTGGGTGCCGACCGGGCACCTGCCCTGTGCATGGCATGCGCCAGCTGCCACAGCACCAGGCAGGCGCATGGCCTCTGTTGTTTGCTGAGAGCCGAGCGAGCCAGCTAGAAAGAGCACGGGTGGAGAGGCCCTCCTGCCTGCCACCCACCACGGGGGCATCGGAGCCTGGGCCCGCGGCCACCTGCCCTGCGGGGACGCCTGGAGGCGGGGCCCGAGGGGCCAAGGCACCGGGTGTGGCTCCGGAACAAGAACTCAGGGGCGTGGCCCTGGCTGGTGTGGCTCTGGCCTGGGCTCTGCGGTCGAGGGGCCGCGCGGTCGAGGGGCCGCCTGTTCGATTCCTGCGTGGGGCACAGGCCTGGGCGGCCGGCCGGGTCTCCAGTTGGGGGCGCGCAAGGGGCCACCCGATCGGTGTTTCTCTCCCTCCCTCTCGCCCTCACTTTTGCGTTCTCTAAAAACAAATAAATAACCTTCTAAAAAATACACAAGAAATCAGGGGCGCCTTGCAGACGGAGCTTCACGGCCAGGCCACGGACGCCGTCTGCTGGGCTCTGTGGACAGGGCGGCCTCACGGCTGGCCCTGGGCTCCTGTGCCAGCGGGTGGCCCTGCGGGACCCTGGGCTCAGCAGGGCTCCTCGCTCAGCTGCTCCAGGGTGTCCTGCGAGGCCCACGCGCCCGGCCGTGACACCGGGGGCTGGGCGGGCCCGGGGAACTGGTCGCTGTGTACAAGCGACGTGGGTGACCACGCCTCCTCCGAGGTCTTTGGCCACGTGATTTTGGGGACCTCCATCCTGGCGGATGACTTCTTCCACCTCCTGCAGATCCTGGACGCCTCCTGCCGCAAGGGGTCCGTGGCCAGCACGTAGAGGACGGGGTCAGCCACGCTGTTCACGGTGGACAGGCACAGGAACACCATGGAGGCTGTGTACAGCCTGACTTCGAACGCGCACATGGAGTCCTCCGCGCCCCGGTAGTAGGAGAAGGCGGCAGCTTTGGCCAGCAGCACCAGGTGGTAGGGCGCGAAGCAGACCAGGAAGATGACCACGACGGCGATGACCGTGCGCCTCACCCTGGCCTTCTGGGCGGCGCCCAGGCCCGCGCTCCGCTTGATGCTCCTGAGGATGCGCTGGTTGGTGAAGACGAGGATGCCCAGCGGGAAGGCGAAGCCCACGGTGACCCGCCAGTAGAAGTAGCTGGCCACCCTGCCGTCCATGGGCAGGGCCTCGAAGCAGGTGCACTTGTCCTCCATCTTGAACACGGGGTAGTGAGCCAACCCGACCAGGAGGAAGACGGAGGCGGACACCAGCACAGCGGTCCGGCGGCGGCGGCGGCCGCGGCTCTCCAGCGCGTAGGTCACGGCCATGAAGCGGTCGCAGGAGACGCAGCACAGGAAGAGGATGCTGACGTAGAGGTTGCAGAAGAAGATGTAGGCGGTCACCTTGCAGGCCCACGGCTCCAGCATCCAGCGGTGCTTGTTCTGGACGTAGAGGACCCACAGCGGCAGGGTGCTGGCGTAGAGCAGCTCGCAGAGCGCCAGGCAGAACAGGTAGACGGCCAGCACGCTGCCCTGCAGCGCCTGCAGCAGCGTCAGCACGGCCGTCAGGCAGTTGGCCGGCAGCCCCAGCACGCACACGGCGCTGTAGACCACCACCAGGCCCACGCGGCTCTCCTCGTAGGGCATGCGGCAGCTGCCCTCGTCCGGCATGCGGCAGCTGCCCAGCAGCGCGGTGCCGTTTCCTGCCGCCGCGGTGTTGTTTCCTGAGGGGGCGGAGACGGCGTGAGGATGGGCGGGGGAGACCGTCCAGAGGTGCCGAGAAACGCTAAGCCTCGAGGACGTTCGGGACTGGACACGCCGGGCGCCTCTCTTCCCACGCGGGGTCTCCTGAGGAGACGCCGAGACCCTCGACCTGCGGCCTGGCCAGGCCGGCAGCTCGCCCGGGTCCCTTTTCAAAAGGGGAAAGAAAGGCATCCCCTAACCGCTGAGCTACGCACGGTCTCCGCAGAATCCAGGGGCCGGCGAGGGGGGCGCCTGCCTCTGCCCCAGCTGTCCCCACCTGCAGGGCCCCCAGCCCCATCAGCCCCGCCCCTGCTCCCCGCGGCCCCACCTGCACCGCCCACCTCTGCAGCGGCCACTGGGCTCTCGGTGCAGGTCAGCCCCGTGACACCTGCCTGGGGTGGGAGGCTCCTGTGGGCCATGCCGGCCAAGTGGCTCAGCACGGGGTCTGCCGCGAGAAACAGGCACGTGGGAGGCCCAGCGGACAGAGGAGCCTTTGACTGTCCCCTCGGCCCCAGCCCTGAGTTTTCTCGTTCTCTCCAAGGACAGGGAACGGGCACTTTCCCGACATCCTGATGGTGCGCCTCTAGTTGTGTCATCTCTGAGTCAGTGTGCCTCTCTTTTGAATGCTCCCTTTTTGACATAGTTTTCCCCTTCCTGAGGCCGAGTGCATTGCACAGACCACCTTACAGGCTCCCTCCTAAGTGTGCGAAGTCAGAAGAGGCAGGAGCTCTCACCTGGCATGTCTGCCGGGGCGGGGCGGGGCGGCCGTACACCAGCTTCCCGGCGCACCTCACGTCTGTCAGGCCCGCTGAGAGGGTCACGCAGAGTTTAAAACGGCCTGGAGAAAAGGAGGTTGAAATAGCTTCAGAGAAACCAGACCCAATCACAAGGAAAGCCATTAGACTATCGGCCAGCAGGCCCCGTATCTGTCCTGCGGGCTTGGCGGCGTGCCCTTCATATATAAAGAGCTCTCACAAACCAACAACAAGAAGTGTCCATGCCGGTCAGCAGATAATTCACAGGAGGAACGAACATAGCGTCCAAAAATTGCCCCACGTACAACGAAAGAAATGTGCACAAAATTTTCAAACAGAAGTCTTTCCTTGGCTCTCGTGTTGGCCAAAGGGAGGAACTTCAGTGTTTGGTGTTAGCGAGAGCATGAGGGGGTCACACGCCTTCGCTGTGCGGCGTGACCTGGCCCAATGTGGCGGCTTCCAAAGCCCTTCACACCCCAGGGGCGCCGCTCACACCCCCCCCCGCCACCGTGAAAGGAGCCCAGCCCCCCAGGAGAGCACCCACGGCCCCTGCCTCCCCCGCCTTCCCCAGGCCTTCTCTCCTCACCCCAGACGCCCCTCAGACAGACTCTGTCCTGACCAGCCAGAGGGGGGCTGGGGCGGGCAGCCCTCGACACTCACCCTCCCCTGGGGCAGACAGGAGGACCCCGCCCGGGGAGCCGCAGCAGCTCCGGCCTGTGGGGCAGGCCCACGTGTCTCGGTCCCGCAGCAGCGGGAGCCACAGAGGTGGGGCCGGGGCGGGGGGCGGCCGCCGGCTCTAACCCCGACCTCGCTGCCTGTGCCGGCCCCACCACGGCCACCCCGGCCGCCCTCCCAAGCTGCCCCCAGCCCTCCTTTCTCAAGGGTGTTTCTACCAGCTGGAAACAACAGGAAGCCAAGATGTCTACTGAAACTACACACAGTTCCCTTACATCTTCTAAGTAAGACCTGGGAACGGATGTAGAAGTGAGATGCTGAGGCCAAAGGGAATCCAGAAATACCACCACCAAGTGACGCTCGCCTTCTGGCACCGACAGGTGCCCCACAGGCCTGCAGGGTCACAGGACCTGGCCCGTCTGGCCCCCGGGTCTCAGGTCAGACCCGGCCCACCGCACGGCAGAGGTGTGGGCCACCCCGGGGGGCTGCGGCCGAGGGCCACCTGCTGACTCTACCCTCTTGGGAGTTGAGGGCCGAGCCACCCTCCCCCACAAAAGGGAGACCCGGCCAGCCCCGGGGTGAGGGAGGGAGTGTGGCCAAGGGGGCTGGGGTCCCCAGGGAGAGCACTACCCACCTGGGAGCTGTCCAGACGCTCAGGGCCCCAGCTGTTCCCTGGCCCCGCGCCGCCTTCCCTTGAACTCCTCAGGCTGAAGGGTGAGCCCTCCGCGTGTGCAGACAGGGGCTAGGTGGGTGGAATCTCTAGAAACCACTTCTGCAAAAGCCAGAGGAAGTGATGGCCCAGCAGGGGGAGACACTCCCTCCCCCGGCACCTTTCGCAAGGGTGAGGCGGGTCCCAGGCAAGCCACTCACCGCCCGGCTGTGCAGGGCCCGGCAGGCGCTCGCGTCCCCACCCCTGACCGTCAGGCCCGGACAGCCTGGCTGCACACGCAGGGGACCAGGGAGGGCCCGCCGGAGAGAGCTGACGCCCCCAGCAGCAGGCCCAGGCCGGAGCCCTCAGGATGCCGGACACAAGGGCCCGGGGCTCCCTCCCTGGCCAACCCTCCCCCGCTTGTCCTGACCTTGGGACACATGGCTTCGGTGTCTTCTCAGGGACTTCCTGGGCCTGGGGACCCAGTTCGTGGCACTTTCTGCCCCCACTGTAACCTCCTCTACTCTCTGCTTCCTCTCAGGTCTGCACTCCCCCCACCGAGGGTCCCCTGTGCTCCCACCAGGCGAGCAAGCCCAGCAGGGGGCCAGGGCCTCGTGCCTGCCCAGCCTCGGCGGGTCCTGGCCTTCTCCTGAGCCCGCAGCCGGGACGACAGCAGCAGCCAGCACGACAGCGAACCGTCCCCCCCGCCAGGGACAGGGTGCCGCGGGCTCCCCGGGCCCGGGTCCCCTCCTGGCCTCTCCCGCTGGGTGCTGAGCAGGAGGACAGGGCCGGCGGCGGCGGCCCTGCATCCTCCCACGCCGAAGCACACGCTGCGCTTCTTGGCCACGCACAGCAGCCCGCTCTTCCCTCACGTCACCCCAGCCCACCTTCGGGAACCCCCAGAGGAGGGCCCAGACTGTGGAGAGACAGACTCTGTGAGGTCACGCTGACGCGCTGGGAGGCTGCTCCCGGCCTGGCCAGGCAGACATGGCTGTGTGCGTGGGCGGCTGCATCAGCCTGAGGCCCTGCCACACCTGCCCCCGGGGCCCCAGCGGCCTCCACGTCCCTCCTCTGCTGGCCCCGGGCACCGCCTGGGCTTTGATGTCCCCCACGGGCCCACCCTCTGCCCAGGGCGGCCTCTCCTGGTGGCCCCACGGCCTCCGCCCCCGCCCCCAGCTTGGTCCCCTGCGGGACTCCTCCAGGTTCTCAGCACAAGGAGACGTCCGCCGCATCCAGGGCAAGCGCAGCGCGCCGCCCGGCCCTCGGCACGTAGCCCTCAGTCTTTTCAAACGTGGGTTTTTGGTTTGTTTTACCGTGAACTTCTCACACAGACCGGACGAGGTGACAGCGGGCCTTACGCGTCCGGCCCCCGGTCCCCGGCCGGTCCCCTGTCCGCGTCCATCAGGCCTTGGTGAGACCCAGCTCTGGGGGCTGCCGCCCCGCTGGACGCACGGCGCTTTCGGGGGCGTTCCAGGGCTTCCCCGTCTCTCCTCCCGTGCTCCCTCGGACCCGGCCCTTTCTGACCGGGTCTCCAGCCCCAGCAATTTGGCGGTGGCTGCCTCACCCCCGCCCCCCCGCCCCCCCTCCCGCCCCCGCAGGCTGTTTCCCCTGTTTTCATAGAGTTTCAAAGCAACTTTTGAAAACACATTTGCATTTCCTTGAGCGCTCCCGCTCCCGAAGCCAAGCCACCTGCCCTGCCCAGACCAATGCTCTTTCTAGTCTTTCCCCACCTTCCCCGCAGGGCCGTCCGCCCCGCACCCGGGGAATCTGCACCCCGGGAATCTGCGACAGGCACAGGGCGCCCAGGACGTCCCCGGAGGCCCGGGAGGCGCAAGGACAGGTCGTAGGGCCAGGCCTGCCCTCAGCCCCCGGCTCTCTGGCCCTGGACCAGCGCAGGCGAGAGCTCTGAGGAATCAGCCTCAGGACGGGGAGGCTCTGAAGGGGCCCCGGGCAGTCACCACCTGCACCCCAAACCCTCCTGCCGACACAGCGCGGTGGGCACTGCTGCCCCGGGTCCCTGGTGAAGGAACCCACGTGTACTCCAGCCGACCACCTTCGCGTCAGACCCCCCCTGGGGCCCCCACCCACCCCACCCCGCCGCCGGGGGAGACTCGGGCCCCGCCTGGAGGCTCCGCCCTCCCCGCAGGCCCCGCTGGGTGGGGGCTTCCAGGACACGGCCAGGACGCTGGCCAGCTGTCTCCAAAACTCCCAGCCACAGGGTCCCAGGGGTTGGCCAGCGGCAGCCGGATGACAGCTTTCTTGTGGTGACACTGTGCCCCTCGCCGTCCCAGGGACAGATGACAGGAAGGGGCCCAGACCCACTTCCCCTTGTGATCCGACACCACCCAGAGACAGAGTCAGAAGCCTCTTCTGGGTTCCCTCGGGACCTTCCCAGCCGGCCGGGGCACACTCAGAGCCAGCTCACACGAGCGGCCAGTGCCCAGGTCCCCACGCGGACAGACCGGGCAGGACACCGCGGGCAGGACCCTCCCGAGGGGGACCCAGCTCCCGACCTGGCGCCTCCAGGGAGCCTCACCCTGCGGGGATCCCTGAGGGCGCAGGGAAGGGGCCGCAGCCGCCACCAGCCGCGGTGGCCCTGGAGCAGCTCCAACCCCCCACGGCTGGCCACCTGCCGCAGGCCCAGCCGTTCCCACGGCGCCCTCCCTCCCGATGCCCACCCTGGGGGTGGTGCTAGAGGGAAGGGGCCTCTACATACCAGCCTTGGCTCTGCCTGGCCCCCCTCTGAGACGACCCCAGCCAGACCCCGTGGCCTCGCTGGTGGGGTCCCCAGACACAGCGTCCCTCTTAGAGGTGCTGCTGGCCCCCGGTCCCAGGACACCGGTCAGACCAGCCTGCTCCCGAACACGCAGCCCAGGCGTCTCGAAAGCACCGCGGCTGCAGGTGGCCTGGCGCCGCCCCGCCACCTGCTGCCCCACAGGCTGGTTCCGGGTTTCAAGGGGAAAGGGCAGGGTGGGCCCCTTCCCTGGGTCAGCGCCTGGCCTGATCCGGGCCCGGCCATCGCGGCCCCGGGGGCAGAGCCAGGCCACCTCCACTTCCGGGGCCTCCGTGCGCCGCCCGTGCGGTGCATCCGCGGCGGCCACACCCCTGGGTGTCCAGGGCCAGGAGAGCCCTGGGGCCCTCCTCACTGTCCTGCAGAGACGGTCCGGCCACAGCTGCCCGGCTCCCTGGAGTGCTGGGCCCGGGGCGTGGGCAGGCCTGAGCGCAGGGCTCACCCCGGCCTTCCCGAACGCCCGCCTGGGGGCCGCGGTGTCCGCGGGCCGCTGCCCCGAGGGTGCCCCCTGCCTCCCGGGGGCCCAGGCTGAGGACAGCCCTTCCCAAACAAGCAGGTGGGGCCGCGGCCCTGGGTGCCCGAGACCCACCGTCACCATTGCTCGGCAGTGGCCTCCGGGGCCCGGGGCGGCTGAGCCACGCATCCCCGGGATGCAGGGTGGCGGCCATTTCACGCCGGGGCCTGCCCGTTGCTCGCGGACCCCCAGCCCCGGCACTGCCGTCTCATCTCTGCCCCGAGGGGTCCGACCCCTGCAGGGACCTCAGATCAGTGGAGCCCGCGCCTGCCTTTCGGCATCTGCTCATTCCACTTGGCATGACGTCCCCACGGCCTGTCCGCGTCACAGCAGGAGGCAGACCCCCCACTTCCTGCGGCTGAAGCAGGGTCCCTGGCTGGAGGCAGCTGTGGAGGCGCTGTGCACGCGGGGGTGCGGACTCGGGCGCCTGGGTCTGCATCGCGTTTCCGTCAACCAGAGACGTCGTTCTGGGAAGTGCTCCGGTTGTCCCGCACTTCGTGCCCTGCCTCCCTAGCTCTCTTGCAACCACGCCAGGTGCCCGGAGCAACCAGGGTCAGTCCTTTCTCACGCCGCCCCCGCCTGTCTGCCCAGGATCCTCGCTCCTCCTTCCCCGGTCTCTCTGCCTTCCCTGGCTTTCGGCTCTGCCTCTCCACCTTTAGGGTGGGTGGTGATGCTGACTCAGGATCCAGGCTAGGGAGGCAGGGGACTCCCGGGGGTTCCCCGGACGCAGCCGCCCTCCGAGGAGCAGGACTTCCCCAGACGCTGGTGGCGAAGGGGATTTCGGGGCCATTCCTGAGAGAGCCAGCCTGGGAGGCCCCGGGAGGGGCAGGGACAGGGCTTTGGGAAGCGTCACAGAGCCGGGCGATTCTGAAACCCTCGCTGCTGCGCGTGCTCCTCCAACAGGGGGTGGGAGAGGCACCCCATGGGTGAGCGACGGGTCGGGATTCCAGCAAAGTGGCAGCATGTCCCAGCTCAGGCACAGCAGGGTGCCTGCCACCCCTGAGCCCCCGGCGACCTTGCCAAACTCAGAGCTGGTCCCTCCCTTGGGCTGGCAGACAGCGCCCACAGCCTTGGGGAACCGGGTACTGTCTCAGGGACCAGAACGGCTTCTGGAGCTCCAGCCTTCCCACCTGCATTCTGGGTGTCAGGAAGGAAGGATGTTGAGAACAGTGGGCCCTCCCTTCTAGGGGACGTCCCAAAATGCACCCCGTTCAGGCCTCAGGAAGGAGCCAGGCAGAGCCACCTTCTTTCTGGGGCAGGAGGGGACCACAGGGCCACAGAAGAAGGCCGCTTACTCCATCAACAGCAGCGTCACTAGGTGCCTGCTACATGCCACCGTCCAGAGCAGGGTCCGTGTCCTCCCCACCCCCAGGGGAGGCAGCCCTGGCCCCCCTCAGCGCCACGGCTCGCCCGAGCCGGCGTCCCCAGCCCCAGCACCTCCCCGGAGTGCGGCATTCTTGGTGGCTTTAGGAGTGGTGTATTTTGCCACAGAGGGTCCCAAAGACCCAGGCCACCCTAGACCCCCCAGAGGGACAGCAGAGGTGCGGGTACCCCCCTCCGCTGCCCTGGGAAGCTCGGCCTGGCTCCCCGTGAGAGGTAAGAGGGAAAGGGGCCTCCGCGTGCAGCCCCTGGCTGGGGCGGAGCGCGCCCAGCGTGTGTCTGAGCCGCAGAGGCCCCAGCGCCGCCGGAAGTCAGCTCCAGACCGGAAGGCAGCGCCTACCCTCACGCTCACCCCCGCAGCCCGGCCCGGCCCGGGCCTCGCCAGCGGCTCCCACCCACGGCGATGTGTCCCCAAGCGGGACTCAGCATTTCTGAAGACATTTTTCGGGTTTGCCTGAAGGGGAAGTTGAGGGATGGCGCTGAACATCCCACAATGCACAGGGCAGCCCCGCGCCCAACCACAGAGACCCAGGGGCCCCCGACGTCCCCATCACCGTGCCAGGTGGGGGGTCCTGGTGCCCCCGGGGGGCCCCCTCTGGAAGCTGCTCTTGGGCTCCACCGGAGGGCGGACCGGGGACACAGGCGCCTGCTAGACAGCGGGGAAGCAAAGAGTGGGGGGGACGGAGGGATGCAGCCTCTGACCCCGCCGTGGCCCGCCCTGGGGACACCGCTGATGGCCGGCCAGCAGCCGGGCCGGGCGGCCTGACGGCACGACCCCGCGCGCTCCCCCGGCTGGACCCCCGCTGCTGCTTAAGAAGCAGCAGGGGCCTGGGAAGGGGGCCGGCCAGGGAGGGCGTGCCGTGGGCGCTGCCCTGGGGCTCCCGCCCCCGCCCTCCAGGACACCTTCCCCGGCACCAGCCGAGCCGGGAAGCCAGGTCCCCGGGGGTGAAACCGCGGGTCTAGCCCACGCTCACACCCGAGCCGCCCACGCTCACACCCGAGCCGCCCACGCTCACACCGGCAGGACTGGCTTCCCCTCTGCAGGGTGTCAGCCCGCGGCCACCTGGGCCCCTGCGACCTGGGTCACCCTCACCAAGTGAGCATCCACGTGCCCTGCCCGGTGCCCCGCCTGGGCAGGTTCCAGAGGTGGGGGATCTCGCTCGACGCCCACAGCCCGCAGAGGGGCCCCTCCCATCGCAGGCTCGGAGCGGGGGCCCCGTGGCCGCCCTGCGGTGGGGCCGCGACCCAGGTGTGGGGTCAGAGCACTGCAGTGGGGCCTGGGGTCTGAGCTGGGTCGGCCCAGGCCCAGGGGGGCTTCCCGGGCAGAGGGGCAGTGAGTGTGAGCCTGCGGGGTCCCCCCAGAGCCCCACAACAGGAGACGGGCAAGGACTTTGCAGCCTGTCTCCCAGGCTGGCAGCGTCACCCGCTGCCCTGCCAGATGTCGGGGTGTGAGGCCAGAGGCCAGAGGCCGGGGGCGGGGCCGGGGGAGGCCAGGCAGTGTCAGGGCCAAGGGCACACAGGCAAGGTGAGGGGTGGGGGCCTGGGTCCCTGGGAGACAGAGGTGTGGGAAAGGGGGCGGCCAGGACCCGGACAGTGCCCCGTGGAAGGTCAGGCCCGGGGCCCCGAGGGCACCGAGGGGCGTTCAGAGAAGACTCGGTGAGACCGGAAGCGGGGGCAGGCAGGGGTAGCCGACCCCTGAGAGGCTCCGCTCAGGGCACAGACAGGAGCTGGGCGCGTGAGTGGGGGTCGTGGGGGCACGGCGGTGGGTGGGTTTCACGCTCGACGGGGCGCAGGCCCCATGGCGGGGGCGCGTGCACGGGGGTGAACATGTGTGCACGCTCGGGTGTGTGAAGCCGTTTCCACTACTCGGTGTGCGGGCGCTGGCCTCACAGGAAATTCAGGTCTCAGCAGAAGAGCCGCCCCCACTTCCTGCCCCTCACCTGTGGCTCCACACACGGCCCGCCACCTGAGCTGCCGAGGCTTCCTTCCTGGGTGAGGGCGAGCCCTCTCTCTGCTGTCCTGCCCATCGTCACCCCGGAACACGCGCACGCACGCGCACACACGTGCGCAGACAGGCACGTGCACACACGCGCACAGGGGCCAGGCAGGCACGGGCGCCGGCCCCGGGCTCGCCAGGGGACCTGCGGGCCAGGCCCAGGGCGGCCCGGCCACCTTCTGCCGGGGGCGCGGCATCCTCTGCAGAGCGTGGCGGGCCGGGCCAGGCTGGGCTCGGCTGGGACCCGGTGTCCAGCCTCGCCCGGCCTGGCCTCCTTCCCGCACTGACCTGTCTCTCTGGGGCCTGCCCCCGCCCCTTGGTCCCCTCCCTGGGTTTGCTGGCCGGGCCGGGGGTGCTGAGGAGGGGCGCGTCTCTGCACCCTGAGTGGCCGTTCGCTGGGTGATGTGGGGTCCCCGGAGACTCCATGTGAACTGAGGATAGATTTCTCTCTTTCTGCGAAGCACGAGACTGGGGTTCCGAGGGGCTGTGCCCCGGTCTAGGCGTCCACCCTCGCACGTGGGCTGTGCGCCCATTGGCTGGTGTCTTCTTAAACCTCCTGCAGCAGCTTGGCAGTTTCACGGTGCACGCCGTTCTCCCCGCTCCCTGGGCGATCTGGCTCCCGAGCGCTCTGCTCTTTCGGACACCTCTGGGCGTGGAGCGGACCCCCCCGGCCCCCCCCTCCCGCGCCGCCCCTGTCACGCGCCGCCGGCCTCCACGGTGGGCTTTCCGGCCTGCTGCTCTGCTGGCTTCGCCCGTTCCTTCTGACAGGCGTTTCCACGAGAGGGAGCGGGCCATCTGTGAACAGGGACCGTGTCACTTACTCCTTCCCATCCTGGGTCTGCCCGGGGGACGCCCTCAGCTAGTTTCCACGGCACGACCCTCCGTGGAAATGAGGCCAAACCTCGCGCTGTAGAAAAGCACCTGGGGCCTCCGCAAACTCTGCCGGCAGCTGCGCGGCCCCCGGGGCCACGGGGCCCTCCCTGGTTCCTGGTGCTGGTGGCCCGGCCCCGAGCCGCAGGCTCTCCTGCGGACGTCGGACAGGGCCATTCTACAAGGCCAAGTGCGTCTGCCACCTTCAGCCTCTGCAGCGTCCTTGATGTCAGAGCAGGCTGGGACCAAGCCAGCTGTGGTCCCAGGCTCCGCGTGGGGGCTGGGACCCGGGACCCGGCTTCTGTCCCCAGGCATCCGCTCCCGGCCACACGCTGGGTTCTGGCTCCGGCTGGGCGCTGGTCCCTCTCGGCCGGCAGAGTGGGTCCTGCTCTGGCTCGGGGCTGCCGCTCTGAGGCCCCCTGTCCTTCGTCCTTCCAGCCTCACGTGTCCTCATGGTGAGAGTTTTCATTTTTATTTATTTTTAGACAGAGGGGAAGGGAAGGAAAAAGAGGGAGGGAAACATCCGAGTGTGAGAGGAACCTCCGTCGGTTGCC